AATAATTAGATTTGAATTATCCATAAATATGTTGATTATTTATGGTTATATTACATGTATTAATATGTATTAATTGAATTTTAATATCATTTCTTATTATAACCATTGAATTGTAAATATATTTTAAAAGTTAATAACTTTTGTATTTTTAATCAGTTTTACATATATAATATATCAAATTAATCCTCTTGGTCAGCTACGATTTAACATCAATATTGTATGTATAAAAAAATAAATTATATTTATTTTTATAACAATAATAAAATTATATTAAATCATTAGAAAAATAAAATTATTTATCAATTAATATATTTATATTTCAAGTAATTATATGNCTCCCATTTCTGCGAAACTTCGAACTAGTGCACGGAAAGTTGGAAATCATAATTTTCCCTAATCAGTTTATAATGTGTTTTTCTACCCTACCATGATATTTTGTCATGTAATGGAATCTCACTTCATTTTATTTACTGTTCCTCAATTATACTCAAATCATTGAAAAAAAAAACTCCAATTGATGAATGTGGCATTACAAAAATATGGTAGTGACACGACATAGCTAAGAGCAGCTCCAATGTTGCGCTATTTTAGCGCAATATGCTAGAGTAGAGATAAAATTGCTTTCCAATGGTGCGCTATATTTCTGCACTACTCTAGAGTTATGAACAGTATCGCGCTACATCTGGCGCGGTATTATTCATTACTCTACAATTTTTATTTGCTTTTTTTTTTATTTTTTTTATATTACATGTAATTGATTTATCTTAAACATTATCATTTAACAAATTTTGTACCATATTTATAATTTAATTTTAGAATTATATGAAAATATTATTTTTAAAATTTTTATATTTATATTGAATTCCTATAAAATAAATCAAATAATATAAAATAATATTAATTATTTGTCCAACAATATTTTAAATTTGTAGTAGACCAACTAACATCGTGATATATTTATTTTATAAAATAATATGTTCAATTAAATAATATTTAACATGTTAGATAAATTAAAATAATATGAATAATATATATGTGGAGTAGAATGTAGCGCGAACCGTTGGGTCCAAATTTGATTTTTGTTTAGCTTTACTCTAGAGTAGAGTAAACTTTACACTAGAGTAGAGATAAGGACTGGAGATGATCTAAAGAGCTACATATCAGACAAATTGGAGGTGATTGACCGTTTATTTATTTATTTATTTATTTATTTATTTATTTATTTTACACCATTGATCAATACAGATCATACACCCATACACAACCGCGGATTTACACTCTAACTTTGGGAGCGCGTGCCCTCAACAAACTTTGTGTATATATTACAGTAATTATAGACAAAATATATTGCCTTCTATTATATTTAGTTGTGCCTCATACTTATTAGTTGTGCTCATGCCCAAAACAAAGATATATTAACCTACAACTTAAAACCCCCAACAAATTAATGACCAAATTAAAAGAAAAATACATAGCATTGTTGGAATATATATATTACAAATGAAATAGTTATACGTCATTTTTAAAAGAGGAAAACTTTATTTATATTACTATTAGATAAGTTATTTTTGTTATCAGTTATATGGTGGAAAATAAAATAATTATTTTGGATCAATCACTGTCCATACATTTGGCTAACTGTGTATATTGATTTAACAATAATAAACCCAATGAATACAACCTCACGGATAATTACCAATTTTCGCAAAAATATTATCATATGTACGATTCCACATGCATTGATATCATCTAATTGTGAAATATATTTAATTTGGTCAACATGTGTTCTTTAATAAGGTCCACTTTAAATACACCAACCCAGACTTATTGATCACTTTGATAGTGGACATTGGACATGCCACATAAGTAGAAAAGAGAAGCAGCAAAAATTCTGGAATAACAACAACAATAATAATAAACTCAGACTATGGAGAAAATTCTACTATGGAGAAAATTCTTAGGATTAGTTTCATGCATGTAAGTTAGCTGGTTGCCGCAATTGACATGTGTTCTGAAAATCTGACTCATCAGTGAATGTAGTTAAACTGCACGTGTCTTGTATATAAGTCCTACCTTTTCAAGAAAATTAAAATTAGCGAAGTGAATTATATATTGACTGATCGTTTTATTGAGAAATCATTGCTTGTGTAAATCATGGGGCATTCAATAAAGCAACAAGAAGTCAATTCCTATCGAAATTGTATAGGCGAGGTTCGTTTAATGAAAAACAACTACCAAATACTAATGACGATTTTGAAATCTAATAGTAGTAAGTTGTCTTGATTGTTAATTAGGCATGAGTACTCAAAATATAATTTTCAAACCATTTTTTTTCAGTAATTTTATTTCAAAAAGAAAAAAATGGATCATCATATCAAGTCAGGTCGGGTCGAGTAGAGTAGGGTTAAATCTTTCAAGTCTTTAACACCGGATCAACTCAGAGAAAGATTCGACCAATAATTGCATAACACCTAAATAAGAAAATTATTACAAAAACTAAGGGGATGCTTGATACAATTTTATTTTTTTTTTTTTCAAAAAGATCCAATCATTTTGAACTCAAGTTGATTTGCTTCCACTGCGGTCGTGTTGGCCATCAAAATGGCCGCCCCCTTTGCGGTGACCCAGAAAAGGAGGATCAAGAGAACAGAATGTACTCAGCTTATGATTGCAACTTCCACTCCGTCAATTATATCGAGAAATTAATTTTTTTAACTCAAATCTAATTCAACTTTAACTCAATCTTACTATTTTTAATATTATCAATATAATTAAATAATATCACTCGATTATTCTTACACATTATATCAACTTTTGTTCACTATTCATCCATTTACATAATTTTAACTAATAACCATCACTTCACATCATCTCTCTCCCACTTTTACATTAAATTAATTTTAATTATTTTAATATAAACACAAAATCCACTAACAACTAATCATACCACTTTTTTCAAAATTAATCATCCCAAACTAAAAAATCTAAATAAAATCAAAACATCTTAGGGCATCTGCATTGCTTGTAATTCATTTAATCATCAACTACATTCTCTCTCTTCCACATCCTCTCCGTATCAGTAATTTTTTTAAATATGCTCCATTTAAACATTAACTCACACTCTTTAAAATCCATTCAAATATTGAGGGACCCACTAAATAGAGTTAAAATAATATAATGAATGAACAAAATGAAGTAATGTCCTTTATACTGGGCCTACATTTTGTGGCTTAATGCCGTTTAATCAGATTAACGGCAGAGTAGGTCCGCAAGCATGTTTCATTTAAATGAACGCTCACATTGCATCAAATAATTCATTTTGCATTTAAATGACATGTTCTTATATCCAAGCATCCCCTAAGTGCTTGTTTGAGAGTACTTTTGTAAAAGTACATTTATTAAATGAACTTTTGAAAAAAAGATTTTCCAAAACTTTTCATCCTCTACTTCTATTGAATGGACCTTTTGGAGAACCGTTTTATCCATAATCTATTATTATATAAAGAGGCAACCCAAAAAATCCTAGAATAGTAACTAAAAAATAATTAGGAATCCCGCCTAAATATTTACTAAATATAGTAATGTTTTTGAAAATTTTTGAATATCCCGCCTAAATGTGTTTTTAAAAATTTTGAAAAAAAGTTTAAATTCAAACATTTAAAAGAAAAGAACACATTTTGATACATTCCATTTTATCTTAACTTTTATATAATCTACCATATCATTAAAAAATATCTGCTTACAAGGAACAAATAAAATATTAAGATTAATATATTTAACATTGTCATAAAATAGAATTTACATGATTTAATTTTATTATTATGAGATAGGATAAATTCTAAGTATTGAATAGAATGCACAAATGGAATAATATTTATTTGAAAGTTACTTATATATTTTTAAATAAATTACATCAATAACTAATATTAATGCAAATTGAATACTCATCATTTTATAAAAAAATTGAATAATACTTTTATAAGTGCTATAACTAATAATAATGAAACTATATGAAATTAAATTTTAGAATAAAATAATATTTAAGTATTATGATGAATAATAATAAGTAAAATTATTATTTCTGTATCAAAAAACAAATATATATTTTAAAATATTATTTATTTTAATATAAGCTGGTCAACGGACTAATACACTGTTAAAACAAAAAAATTTAAAAAAAAAAATTAAGAAATAAATCTGCCCGTGCATAGCGCGGGATGCTTATTAGTTCTATTTTTAGTATATTGCCAAACATGAATTATTTATCCAAATCAATTTTGAATTCACAATTTCATTTGAGAAATGATATCTCACTGTAATCATAGAGATAACCAAGAGGATTGACACAACTAGAACACGATGTCCTAACAACGAAAATTCAACAAGAAGGAAGGCCACCATCAACGAAATAACACAAAAAATTACTACAAATAATAAAAAAAGACAAATACAAACGCAACCTAAGACATAAAAATAGATACAATAGCAACTTCTATTCTTCAAGCAATCACCACATAGACGGAGTACCGCCGGATAACATCAAACACCAACAAACCACAAGTTAGACACTCAGCCCTATAATATAATGAAAATAGGTCCGCATTTCATTAAATTCATTATACAATTAAGTTAAAACAAAAATAATAATAATAATTGAACTAGGCATTTTCTACTTAAATTTAAANTTAAAAAAAAAAAAAAAAACTTAAATTTAAATATTCCTATACCTAGAGGAATAATGAATTATCATATTATTTTATTCCTAAGCGCACAAACAAACACTAGTCCATGCAAAATCCGGCCGTGGCCGCTATAAAAAGCCACATCGTCCGTAACATCCTTTTACCAAAAGACACAACCGCTCTTTAACACCTATCTATTTCTCTCTCTAAAACCACCCAAACTCAAATATTCATTCAGAAAACAAATAAAAAACGGGTTTAAACTCTAACAACCGGGTCGAAAACATCCCGGGCCCCGAGGCCCCACATGTTAGCCTCATGATTTCTCGAGATGCCTTCCCATTGCCGCCGCCGGAGGTGCACGAGGTTCGCCTGCCGCCGGCGAGGACCGCCGTCCAGAAATTCCGGCACCGCATGTCGGAGATTTTCTTCCCTGACGACCCACTCCACCGGTTCAAGGACCAGACGTGGTTCAGAAAGTTGGTTTTGGGTCTGCAGTTTTTCTTACCGATTTTCGAGTGGGCCCCAAGTTACAGTCTCCGGCTGCTCAAATCCGATGTGGTCTCCGGTCTTACGATTGCGAGTCTCGCCATTCCACAAGTACGGTTTCTTAGTGATTAATTAATTAATTATTAAAATTAAATGAGTAATTTTAAATGTTGAGTTTTAGATAATGACATGAAATTAGTGATCATGAGGCTTTGCATATTTTTGGGCTGTGGGATCAACACATATCCATATAAATGGATTTATATTGTGTAATCGGACGGTTAAAATCCCGATAGGATTGAATTGTCCCGATTTTCATTTGGTAATTGTGATATGATATGAGTAGTATTTTTTATTTATTTTTAATAATTGGTTAAGGTTAACTAGAAAAACTGCCCAAATGATCATGATCACTTAACGTTTATCTTTAGGAAAAAAAAAAAAAGAAAGAAAAACGTGCATATATGAAAGAGACCAAAAAAAAGAGAGATTATATCATCTTAGCATATTATTACATAATCTCATTTTAAAATCTTTCAAGTAGATTAAAATTACTGAATTCAATTGAAAAAAAAAAAATAAAAAATTACTGAATTCATAAACTGATTTATTTTATTAACTCACAAATACAGGGCATTAGCTATGCAAAGCTAGCAAACCTGCCACCCATAATCGGGTTATGTAAGTGTTTCAACACCAAAAACTTGATTAAATTCCCGTTCAATTTTTTGGATATATCTCAAAAACTATACTAACTCAAAGCA